ACTGATGAATTCAAAGGTCCAAACAAAAGCATTTTTTGTTTTGTCTTTATGGAACTGGGAAGTCTATGTCAAACTTGAAGAAAATATTTTCAGAAGTTGTTTTCCTTGTTTTTTTTTTTATATTGACTATTTAAATAACATCAACAATGGATTTATAGGGTTGTAATACCTTGAACTTACGTACTGTAGATACCATCAAAAATTCAATTCACTGCTTCAATCATAAATCAGAGAATGATTAATAAGGGAGTTCTTTTATAATTAATTCAAACTCTAAAGCAGCATCTCCTGATTTAACTAGTTTCAACTGAGAAAAAATATTCTTAGGAAAAAATGTAAGATAAAAAGTGAAAGAAGAAGATAACATACACAGAGGTGAAAAACAGTTCAGAAAACATCACATCTGCATAGGTGGAAATAAAAATCCAGTGGATGCTGCAAGGTGATACTGAAACAATTTTCTGCTATGGAAGTAGAGTAAAAGATTACTTAGTAGTGAAGATACTTCTGAGGCTTCACAGGGAGCTAGAACTTAACATAAAGAATCACATAATTATACCACAGTTGAGATAATCTTAACTTACCCAAAGTTGTGATATAAAAATAAAAGAGATACTAAGACTGAAAGAACAAAAAATAAAATGTGATCTGAGAGAGGAAAAAAAACCTAAATACTTTCCATTACTCATGGCTCTTTAAAATTATTAATGGACTGCAACATTTGCTATAAGTAACAGTATTGAATGAAACTATTGTATAACAGACTAACGACTGAATAACCAATAAAGAAAATAGATTTATCATCTTGTATTCTTATCAATTTTTGAGTTCAGACTTTTTCATTAAAAACCTGCATGTTCAAAATGCTAGTTTACATGGTGACATGTCTAATTATTAATGAAAAAAGAATTCAGGAAAAATGTCTGTGGCATGTTCAAGCATTTACTAGAAGAAATGTACATACATTTTCTTTTGCAACTGTTATGCAATTTCATATAAACATTTATTAAATAGTATGTAAATTCAAGGTAATACAACCTATAAATCCATTGTTAATGTTCTTTAATCAATATAAAACAAACATTAAAAAAACTATCAATGTTTGAAATATAATGGATTTTGTAATTCCACGATTTAGCAAGTTATTCAAATCTACCTCTTATTACCTTTGTACATTAGCCTCAATGCAAATTAAACATCTACAACACTTCCCCTTCTCTAAAGTCTCATAATTCCTACTCTGATCAACCCTAATCCTTTACTTTCTTCCTTATGTTCTCCATATACTTTCTTCCTTATAGTATGTTACTGAACTTAGCCAGTATTCATTTCAAGTCCTGTCTTTAATAGTGAACCATTATGACCCACCACTTGAATATTTTAAAAGTTACTCTTTTAGAATCCTTTGCCCCACTGACCTGCCATTCCTGACCTGCTAAATGTCATCCTTTGGTAAAACCCATCACTTGATTCTTCTTTTCATGCTACAAGGATGCTAACCTTCCCTGGAGATAACCACAAAATGAAGTTGACTTCACCCTATTTAGATTCCTGACAGAAAATCTCAGCTGAGTTATTACCGATGCATGCTAATCTTTACACTTTGCCCTGTTGACTCAAGTCTCTTTCCCCATACTGACTGTTCAGACATCTTTTTCTGTTCTTTTCTTCTGTGACCAGAATTGAGAGAGAAGGTCAAAATGCTGAGAACTCATGAGAAACAAAAGAGAGGACCAACATAGAATGGCTTTAATCTTTTCAGTGAAGTACTAGAGGAGATCCTAGGTCTTATTTTCTTTCTGAATAAGATCAATCCTGGATGCCTTTGATATCACCTGAAATCAGCCATCTCTTCTAATAACCTGTTCTACTAGTTTTTTTGGGTTTTTTTGAGTATTAATTCCGTTTTATTTTTTTAATCAGCAAAATTCTGCCTTCTCTCCCTTTTCCTTAAATGAAAAGGAAAAATTAAAAATGAAAGGAAATAAAAGCACTATTGCAAACATGGGGCAGTCAAATAAAACAAATGTCCACATTGGCTATGTCCAAAAGGAACATCACACATATACATATATGAATATATACACATATGCATACATACATATTACATATATAATTTTAAAGAAAAATGTGCAACTTGTATTTTGCAGAATTAAGACAGAACTCAAGACAGTAAAATAAGTGGTCAATACATGCAAACACAATAGCTAGTTAGAGCTATATCTATTTATGTATCTATATCTATCTACCTATATCTATCATCTATCCATCCATCCATCTATCTATCTGTTTATATGTATTTTTCCAGCATCACAAACAATATGAGCCAACAATATTTAAACACAATTCTGGCTGTATTCAGAATATTTGCTTCTATATACACTTTTTAAAAATTAAATACACACTGAACCATATTTCTTGTTAAGTAGATACAAAGAAAAATGATGTAAAGCTGAAAGATTTCTTTTAAACCATAGCATTTAAGTTGAATAGTTACCATTTCCAATGAATCAAGTTTTTATTAACCCTGCAGAAAACCCTTCTTTACCAATTTCTTCTCTTTTTTTGCCTGTCTTTGCTGTAAAACATTTTGATATTCTCCATTTTCATGTCCTTACAAGGGAATGAGTTTGGGTAGAGGACAGGGCTCCCTGAAAGTACTGTACATCTGCTTGCATTACATTTTATATTACATATATATGCCTTATTCTAGTCTCTTACTTTTTCATTAGGAAGTGGATAGCATGTGTCATCATTAATCCTCTGGAATTGTGATTAGTTATTATACTAAGCAGAAGTCTTAGGTCCTGTTCCCATCCCTTTTCATTCTTCTTTTAAGATCATTAAGATAGAACCACTCTCAGGTTATCTGTCTAATTGGTTTTGTTGAATCGTTCATTTGTGTCTAACTCAAAACCTGGTGGACCACATCACACCACTACTCTCCATGGGGTTTTCTTGGCAAAGATAATGGAGTTGTTTGCCATTTCCTTCTCCAGGGGATTAAGGCAAACAGTGGTTAAGTAACTTGCCCAGGGGTCACATAGAAAGTGTGTGAGGCTGGATTTGGACTCAGATCTTCCTTCCCAGGCTTTTTTCCACTGAGCCACCTAGCTGCCTCCAAGGCAAACAGAGGTCAAGTGACTAGTCCAATATCAGAGTGTTGAGACTGGATTTGAATTCAGGTCTTTCTGACTTCAGGCCTGGCACTCTATACACTGTGCCACCTACCTGCCCGTAAAAGATATTGTGTTGGAGTAAAGTTTAGGTCAAAGTTTATGTCAATAACTTATGTGTAGTTGCTGCTGGACTTGGCCAGTATTCTCCAGTTGGACAGCTCTCCTGGTTCAGAGTGACATAACTGAAGGTTTCTCTATGATCTGGGATTAGTGAGTCAATAAATAGTCAACAAACATTTATTATGCGCCTAATATGTACCAGACACTGTGCTAAACACTGTGAATACAAAGGAAGGTAAAAAAAAATAGTCCCTGCTTTTCAGGAACTCACAGTCTCATGGGGAGATAACATGCAAGCAACTGTGTACAAATAAGCTAGATGTAGTATAAATTGTAAATAAGTGGGATCAGGAAAGGCTTCCTGTAGAAGATGGAATTTTAACTGGGACTTTATTCATACCAAATATGATTCTTTTGAGGTTAATTTGTGTCACAGAAATGCCATCTACTTCTATCATTAATTTGGAACCAAAAACAGAGTTGTTGTTTTTTAAGACATTGGATGAAATGTTTACTTGAGAGAGACAAAAAAGTCATTTCCTGGAGATACAATTTCAATTTTTTATGACTTTGCTTATAAAGAGATTCCCTTTTAAGGATTAACCAGTAATGCTGCCAGCAATAAAATTACAGTGATGTTTAAGATTCATCTGCACATATCTAGACTTAATGTACACTTTATCAAATAGTTTCAGTGTTATGTTTTCAGGTGTATGAATATTTAGTTAATGAGTACCCAAAGACCCTGTAAGGTGACTCCATAAAGTCTGTGCCAACAGAACTCAAGTTCTGGAAGGTTCTGTCACAAAATCATGAAATTATAAAATTTCAGAATTGGGAATGGCGTTAGTAGACATGTAGATTGTTCAAGCTACCCCTGAAAAATAATCTATGCTACAACACACCCAAGAAGTGGTTGTCCATTCTTTGCTTAAAACTCTTTAGTAAGGGGACAAAATCCATTACACTTGTGGGTAGCTCTAATTGCTAGGAAGTGTTGTGTTTTTCTCTCCTCTCTTTTCATCAAGGCCAAATTTGCATTTCTACTGCTTCCAACTATTGATAACATTTCTGTTATCTGAGAGTAGAATAAGTCTTCAAATATTTGTGGAGAGTAATTATGCACCTCCTGACTCATCTCTTCTTCAGGCTAAACATTCCCCAGTTCCTTCAGTGATTTTCTTATTCTGGTTGCCCTCTCTGTATACTCTCTAACTTCTGTTAATATCCTCAGTACTCCAGATCTTGTTTGACTAGTATGGGATATAAACAGGTAATCATTCTCTTATTCCTGAAAGCAACACCTCTCAATACTGTACAGCACTAAATTATCTTTTTTGACTGGCATCATAATGTAAATACATATGGAGCAGTCCCAGCAAACAGAATAATTCTGATGTTTGGAGACAAACTAAACTGTGTAGAGAACGTATCACCAGTAGATCGGTCAATGGGTGATTAATCCTTTGGCCACTACACACTATCAAAGAATCATAAACCTCTTTGGAAGTGGCAATATATAGACCTAGATTTTAGTTCACGGTATTTCAGTACAGCGGTGAGAGTGAAATTCCAAGTAATAAAATATAGAGAAATATATCTTAATTTATCAATTATTCATGGTGACTAAGGTAGAAATGACAAAATCCAAAACATTTAAATTAGCATCATTTATCTTACTCAGAGACTGTCAAAAAGTAATATGAGAACCATGATTACCTTGCACAGTATTCAAGTGACGGAACAGGGTAACCTACTCACTTGCCATTTAATGCTGCCACACCAACTGTACTCCGAGCTATCGACATACTTGCTACAAATGTCCACTGCTGGCTCTGTGGATCCCACCTCTCCACTGTGTTCAGGTAGCTCCAGCCATCATGGCCTCCAACAGCATAAATTGGGCCTTCAAGTACTGTCACACCTAACAAGAAGAAAAGGCATAAATTCATGGAATTATTTATCAGTTCAGATAATTCCGTATTATCCATATACAAAATACAAATACATGTAAATATGTTTGCATAAATATATATGTGAATACACATAGGTATACATATACAGAAAATATATTAATATGTACACACATGCATACACACACCCGTATAATACTCTGATGCTATTTAGTATAAACTCCTGATATGAAAAAATTGAGCACACAGGGAATAATGCAGAACATCCTATAACATCAATTGAAGAGTCTCATTTAAATGAATATTAATTATTTTAAAGAAAAAATAAACACAATATTATATATGCCTTGCAATAAAATTTTTCAGTTTAGTTATAATAGAATTGTTTGGTAGAGCTAATAACCTTATGGTTCCTTGATCTCACATACTTCTATCTGCCATACAAATTGTTAGTCCATGGGAATAGATACAAAGAATGGCATTACTTGTTGGAGCCTAAGTGAGAGATATCATAAATAAGTTACAGTCAGATGCGATCATATTAGAAACAATAAAAAAGAAATACTGTGTGACTATCTCAAAGACTTACATAAAGTAACACTTAGAATATTTTAGCAATGTTTCAGATGAATTCAAAACATAAGGCCACACATGGAATCTTGTTTTCAAGTAGACATTAACAAATAAAATCAAACCAATAGGTTTGTTGTTCCTAGGAAAAAACTATTTTCAAAATTTTAGTTACATACTTTTTTGTTGTATAGATACACTGTTTTCAGATTAAACCCTAGAAAAATTAGAGCTTCATAAATGAAATCCATAATAACTAAAAAAAGTGGGAATAATTATACACAGGAAAAGAAATGAAGAATGTCTTCTGTCCAAACTATGAAATGAATATGAATAAACCATCTCTTAAGCTTTTCTATTAGTACATTTATCTTGGACAGGCACTGCAAAATGATAATGAGACTATGATAATGAATGAGTGATGGGAGTAATAGGAGGAGAAGAGTGTGAAGGATTGCTTTGGGAAATTATTCATTGCTTTCAATGACCGTATAATCTATGACCCAGAGCCCATTAGGTTCAATACTAAAAACTGACCCACCAAAGGTCATTATCTCTCCTTGGCTTATTATTGTTATTACCCAGACTTTATGTCTGTTTCACTAACTGTTGGTTAAAAAAAAAGGCTTAAGGTGCTGAGTGAGTGTTCAAGGTAAGAAGGTAATACATGCAAATCAGGCTTCAAGATGGATTTTATTTCATCCCCATAGAAAAGGCAGATAACATAAAGACTCATAGGAGGTCATGAAAAGATAGATACACAAAACCCTGGAAAAAGCCCATCAGAGCCTGCTGGAAGGGAAATTAACTAGGAGTTACTTATTAGGACAATCAGTCCCTGTCATTCTGATGAGTTCCTTCACAATACTCAGTTCCACTTTCTGATTTAGAATATTCTGCCCTAGAAAGCAAACCAATTTTGAGTTAATGAAGGAAGAGATTCAGGCAACTTTCTAAAGCTTAAAAATGGAAACAACCATGAAGGCTGACTTGTCAATGGAAATCATTAAATTCACAGGATCACAGAATCATAAATAAGAACTGGACTGTACCAAATGAGAAGAAAACTGAGGCTCAGAATGGTTAAATTACTTGCCCAGTGTTACCCAGGTAATAGGTGCCAGAGGCAGGATTCAATCCCAGCTTCTCTGACTACAAATTAAATCTTCTTTCTTCTATACCATCCTGCCTCTCATTTTCTTGGAATTTATATATTGATCACTTTTATATAGTGTTTTCAAGTCTCCAAAGTCCTTTATAGACCTTCTCTCATCTGATTCTTATAACAACCCTGTGAGGTGTGTATTACAGACACAGGTATTTTAATTCTTACTTTAGAGATAAGGCAATAGAGGCTAAGTAATTTTTCAGTGATTGTGTAATAAGGAAATGCGGAATTCAAACCCAAGCTTTCCTTAAATTTCAGGTCTGAACTCATTTCTAGAGTATCACATTGCCTCATTTAATTTACAGGTCACATGATACTAACACGTCTGTTTCTGGTAGAATATCAATGTATTACTTGGGTGTTTTGCATTTAAGTAAGAAAAACAAAATGTACTACAATAATATCTATGTATGTACTTCCCAGTGTATTTAGAAAGATTATGCTGGTAATTTAAAATGTTTATTCAAGATCTTACAAGGGATACCAGATCAGCCAATTAGGTTATGAATTAACTTAGATGTAATTTTCAATTGACTACTAATGCAGTTACAACTGGTATTACAATGATCATGATAGACAGAAAGTGGAGATATTCATCAATTTTTTGTTTCATCAGGCACATGTTTTCCAAAGTTAGTTTGCTAATGGACCATCCATTCAAGTACTACTTTTTTTTTTTTTGGTGAGGGCAATTGGGGTTAAGTGACTTGCCCAGGGTCACACAGCTAGTAAGTGCCATGTGTCTGAGGCTGGATTTGAATTCAGGTCCTCCTGACTCCAGGGCTGGGGCTCTGTCCACTGCATCACCTAGCTGCCCCTTTTAGAGACTTTCTTTTTCTTTTCTTTTCTTTCTTTCTTTTTTCTTTTTTCTCCAAGTACTATCAACAGCACATAGGACATTGTTTCATTATTGGAATGTAGAGAAGTTGTTTTTACACATTCCAATAGACCATTGTGGCTGGAGCTTGTAGTTGAAAGATTTTTAGAACTCATAAAGAAAACAAACCAAAAAGAAACATGATTAACAACAGAAATCTTGGGTTTAGAGTCACAAAGACCTGAGTTCAAATACAACTTCAGACACCAGCTTTGTGACCTTGGGCAATTCAATTAAACTTTGTCTGCATCAGTTTCTGCATCTATGAAATGGGGATAATAATAGTACCTACTTCACAAGGTCATTTTGAGGATCAAATGAGATATTTGTAAAATGCTTGGCACAAAATTCTATATAAGTGCTTATTTCCTCCCTTTTCCTCCCACATGTCCCCGTCTCTCAAACCTACAAATATGAATTCTAAGAAATAATGCATTCTTCTTATATGTACCAATAAAAAATCATGATGAATTTGTCGTTGTTCACTTGTGTTAGACACCTTCATGATCCAATTTGGATTTTTTTGGCAAACATAGTAGAGTGATTTGCCATTTCCTTCTCCAGCTCATTTTACCGATGAGGAAATGGAGGCAAGTAGGGATTAAGTGACTCCAGGCCCTATCTCTATATCAGCTGTACTGCTTAGCTGCCCCTTTCATGATGAAGTGTTATTATTATTTTGAAGAAGGAAATGGCAAGCCACTTCAGTATCTTTGCCAAGAAAACCCCAAATGGGGTCACAAAGAGTCAGAAGGATGCAACTGACGTGACTCAACAATGGAGGCAGCTGGTTGGCGCTACGGATAGAGCACCAGCCCTGGAGTCAGGAGGACTTGAGTTCAAATCCAGCTTCAGACACATAATAGTTACCAGCTGTTTGACCCTGGGCAAGTCACTTAACCCTATTTCCTAGCCAGAAAAAAAAATGACTCAACAGCAACAGGGCTCTGTCCCAGTCTCTTTTCTCTTCCCTCCTTTTTTTGGTTTCAATTGATAATTTCATCAGCTCCCATGGTTTCATTTATCATCTCTTCGATGATGATTCACAGATTTACTTATCCAATCATAACCTCCTTCCTAACCTGCACACTCACATTTCCAACTACCAGACATCTCAAACTCAATGTTCCTTTACATCTTAAACTAAGCATGTCCCAAACTGAATTTATCTTTTTTTTCCTGAAACGTTGCCTACATCTGTACTTCCCTATTACTATTGAAGGCACCACCTTCCTCCCAGTCCCCCAGGCTTCCAGTCACCGAGGCTCACAATGTAAGGGTCCATCATGATTTCTTACTGTCTCTCATGACCCCTCTCTCCTTATCCAATCTGTTGCGAAGTCCTGTCATTCCTACCTTTATGACATCACTTGTATATGCCCCATTTTCTCCTCCAACATTGACATCACACTGGTGCTAGCCTTCATTATCATATGACTGGACTACTGTTTTAGCTGGATGGCTGGTCTCCCTGCCTCAAATATCTCCCTACTTCAGCCCATCCTCTCTATTAGGCCATCAAATTCCTAAAGCATAAATCTAACCACATCAACCCCTCCTCTCATTCAATCAACTGTAGTGGTTCCCTATCAACTTCAGGATCAAATGTAAAATCATCTGTTTGACATTCAAAGACCTTCACAACCAGGTTCCCATTCTACCTTTCCAGGCTTCTTTTATTTATTTATTTAACTTTCCATCTATTTATTTGTTCATTCATTTATTCATTCATTTATTTATTTGTCTATTTATTTATTTATTCATCCATTTATTTATTCATTTATTCATTCATTCATTTATTTATTTATCTATCTGTTTATTTGTTTGTTTATTTTTCTTTCCAGTCTTCTTACATCTTACTTGCTACCACTTAACCTGTGCCTCCTTGCTGTTTCAAGAACAAGATACTCCATCTCCAGACTCCAGACTTTTTCACTGGCTGTTCCCCCAACCTAGAATACTTTCTCCTTATCCCTACCTCCTGGCTTCCTTCAAGTCACAGTTAAAATCTCATCCACTGTGAGAAGTCTTTCTTAGTCTCCCTTAATGCTAATGTTTTCATTCTGAGATCATTTCCAATTTATTCTGTATTTATTTTATTTGTATATAGTTATTTTTATGTTGTCTCCTCGTTAGACTATGAATTCCTTGAGAGCATGGATTGTCTGTTACCTTTCTTTAGATTTTTTATCACTTAGCACAGTGCCTGCTATCTAATAAGCACTTGATAGATTATTATCGATTCACCAATATTTCAATGATTGTATCATCTTTTTATTTGAGAAAATTAACTGTCATTTATAGGTTTTTTTGGTTACTCAATTAACAGCATAGTCTACCTCGAAGATTTATAGTTGTATAAATCAGAATCTAAATTTGTTCATCTTGGGAAAGGG